TTGTGTGTGTGTGTGTGTGATGTGCCTTCTCCGGAGGATTTGTAGCCAGGGGGTATATTGGAACAACAGAAAGTCATTCTCTAAAGCACCAGCACACACTCTTTTATACACACAAAAGTACACACACACTAGATCAGCAGCTTTGCGGCTAATGGTATTGTCCAGGTAGTTCTGTAGGATACAACAAAAAGACAGCATTTGAGAGAACATTCCAGCAAACTGCAGCTAATATTGGACTTTACAACACATCACTTTTGGCTTTAGACTCTGGTGCGGATGTAATGAAAACACAGCCAGAGAATATATTTCTTTTTTCAGATTTAAATAAATAGCCCCCTCCATGATGCATAGTACTTTGTATTGTAAAAGAGTTTCAGTTAGTGTGTAATTCTTTTGAAGAACCCTTCATGCACTGTTTTGGGAATTTCTGCTCTCATCTCAAGAGGTTTGACTGATGTCGTTTCTAACTGAGGCTTTATTTTAAACGTCATGTTCATCCTCTAAGGTTGTTTTATAGTCAGTCTCGGTTCTTGCAATTATTCATTCTCAGTGTTAGGCATTTTAACAAACCCACTTTGGCGCGTAAACCGCTTCTGCTAGAGACATGAATGATCAAATCATGTGGCTTGTTGAGGACAGGTGTGTCATCACTTTTACAAGCAACTGGACATCCTGTAGCTCATACAGCATATTATGGCGAGAGCAATGTCAGTGTCATGGATTTGATTGCTAGGGAATGCATATACACTAATAAAATGTATTTCTAATGTAATGTGGCTAAAACCAAATGCATGCATAAATGTAAATATAAAAAAATTCCATAGACTTAAAATATCTATAAAACAAAACATTTTCTGTTCTGTTTTTCGCACACATCTTCTTCACCGATCTAGTTTTCTGAATTTACAATTTTTTTATAGGCAAGCATTTAAGAATTAATGCTGAATTAATGACTACTATTATGTCTCACTAGCCTCAACCTTTACAAGAGAAAAAAAGCAATTCGGAAGTTGTTAAAAGACATCTTTAGCTCTTTCATATGTGTTATTGATATTGCTTTTAATCACTTGTCATTTTATTGTGCTTTTCTTCTTTTATCCTATCATTTCTCAGCCACCTGTCCTGCTAATTGCCATTAGTGTGATTTGTGCCCAGTATTGTAAGTCGCTTTGGTTAAGTGTGTGCTAAACAACTTTAGTTTTTAACAGTTAAAGCTATTGCGTGTGTGATGAGTGACTTTCAAAGTCCTAATTTATGTCAGTTAAAGTCTTTCCAGGGAAATGGCACTAGTTGCTCCACCTCTTGTGTGTGTGTTTGCAGTAAGTCCAGTCTTTTCCCATGAGAGAACACTGAATGACCTCAAGTTGCATGTATCGATCAGGAGGATTTGCTGCTTGATAGAATTGAATGTAATTGGGCAGTTTTTAATTGAGATGGATAGAACATGTAAATTTTGCTCCATCAGCCCAAAATCAATATCCATCTGCTGTAATATGCAGTATATGTCTCTTTCTTTATTTCATTTCGACAAAACATTGGATTGTTTTCGATGCGCAAGGTTTTGCTTATCCACAGTACTTGCAAAGTCAGAAAAAATCCAATGTTTCTTCATCTTAGAAGTATTTTATGTGCTATATTTTATGGCTTAAGGACATTATCTCTCTGTTTTTTTCCCCCTTCTCCCCCATCTCTCTCCCTCTGTACAGCCATATGCCAAAGTTCGATGCAGAAGAAAAGCTCTTTGTTTCACAAACAAAAATTTTGGTGCAGGACTGTATGTGTGAAGCTGAAATGACAGAGATACAGTATTTTTAGGGGTAACATCTGTTGTCGGGTTCAGTTGCTAATGCCGAGAGCTACATTATTGATCAGTCTTTATTACAGTATGCTGAAATATTATGTTCCTGCGTGGTGTACGTGAGTCAATGAAACTGAGAAAGAGACAAAGAGAGTGTAATATGAGGTTCCTTGATTACATTAAAGAGCTTTTATTTTATTCACTTGAGAAGAAGCCTTCTGCTGTATCTCAGTATCAGACCTTAATGATATCATCAGCGCTATAATTGATGTGTGTGTGGGGGGGGGTAATTCGAGTGCACAGCTGAATTTAAACTTCACTGTCAATCTAAAGACCGTAAAACAGCTCAGAGAGCTGCTAGTGTATGCCTCAAAAAAGTATGTGAAATCCACTTTCAGTTGTCTTTCATTTGAATATTTTATAATATTATTCATTTTTGTGAAAGAGTTTTGTGCTTGCAGAATTGGTCATTATCTGGAACTGTGGTAATTTTCTAATAACGTTAATTAACCTAAATTGCTCACATTTTCTCTCAGTGGTGTTTTTGTAGCACACTTAATTTATATTGCGATGGAAATAAGGTAGAATAATAAGTATAATTAGTGTTTTTTTTACAGAAATATCAAATTATAGCATGTTTGCATATTGAGTAGCAAATGCATGTGGGCGGCACATTCAGAAACTTTTTGCTTATGATGTTATTTATATTTCCGATTTTTATGAATTTCCATGAGTTTGAATTGACATACCTTTTTTTCACTGGCAGGCGTGACCATGCAGTGGAGCCCTGAGCAGTCCCAGTGGGCAGAGCAACACTATGACATCACCTCCACCACTCGTTCACCAGGGCATAAGATCGAAGCACTTAGGGATCCAAGGCTAACAGGTTCGACCTCAGCTGCAGCGTATCAACATTCGTGGGCAAACGATGACATTTCAGCTCTGACCGCTTCTAACCTGCTCAAGAGGTATGCAGAGAGATATTCTGCCATTCTGGATCTACCCTGTGAAAGTGGACTTATTCCCATTAGGGGACCTGGTGTTGTGAATAACGGGCCGCCCTTTCTTAATGGACGGAAGGTGGAGGCAGAGCCTTGGCTGGAGAGTGTCTACCCTCCGTTAGGTTGCGTCCCCGAGCTTCTTCCCAAAGTACCACTCAGTGTGACGGATGTGTCTGTCAGTGCGTGTAACTCACCGGTTATAGGCAGCGGGAGTCTTCCGGATCCTTGTTTCTCCAGCAGCAGTTGTAACGGTCAGACTGGGAATCAGGAGTACAGCAGCACTCCCTACAGCACTCCCTTCCTGCAGCCTGTAGGCACTTACGGTGGCTCTCTTTTCCACCCTACCCCTTCCCATGCCAGTCTGGTATCAACCTACAATGTTAGCACCTCACCAAACCTAGCTGCATACAGTTACCCTAACACCCGTTACCCCTCACAGGCCGTTCTTCCTGCTAGCTACAGTCCTCCCCCTCCTCCTTCGGCGTACCTACCTGCAGGTATAACTGCTCCTAACCCTCTTCCAGCTGTGGGATACTCATACCCAGCCACCAGTGTCTCTGAAAGTGATGCCCCAAGTGCTAGCAGCCTTTCAAAATCATATTACCCATCAACTCAAAGCGAGATTGGAGTGTTTGAGGAGTTTGATTTTGGCGGCAACTCTAATTCAGACTCTAGGTCTGAAGGCAGTCCCCTATACAGACCTTCAGGAGACGAAACGGTGGACAAGCAAAATGGGTTCAACCGATCGGCTGATGTAACATCTTCATCCTTCAAGCCAGCTAATCATGGAGACTCTTTAAGAAGCTTGGAGACTCTCACGGTAGCCATGAGCGGACGAAACAATGATACATCCGGACAACACTTCCCATCTACCTCAACTTCTGTTGTCACTTCTCATCAACATCTCTGCCTTGACACAAACACACCTTGAGCGGTTGTGCTCACACTCAACCAGAAGTGCTTGAGCTGATGAAGTGTGAGTGCTCCTCCTAGTGGATCGGAGGTAGAGGGACTTGCTCAAAGCCATAGAGTTGGGGTTCAATGCAAGGGCCTCAAAATACAGGTGCAGCAGGGGAATTCTGCCCAGGAGGTCTCTACATTGGACAGGAGGAGATTAGTTTCTCCATTCTGGAAAGAGGACAATGATGTTTATGCCCCTCCTAGCTGAGCTTAACAGGTCATTGTGAGACACTGACCTCCTCACTCTGATAGGAATGGACAAACCAGTATATCCTCCATGACGGACACATATATCTGAGAGGGATGGAAAGAGTTCGCTCCTTCATTCCGAGAGATAGGAGAGTACATCAAGGGAATTTATATGTCTAATGGATGTGTTGTGGCTGCATTGGCGACAAGGAGTAACGGTAACAGATGTGGTGGTTGGACATTAGCTTCGGTTGACCATATTGCCATGGTGTACATTCTGAGTGTGTGTGTTTGTGGCCTTGTAATGGTTATTTATGTGGTGAGCTTTAATAGTAAATCCTGTTCCCCTTTTTCCACAGGAGAATTGACAAATCCTGATTGTTTAAAGAATCCATGTGTGTGAGTGTGAGTGTGAGTGTGAGAGAGACAGATAAAAACCTCAGGAAAGTGTCTGTCAGATAAATGGCATATGCCTGTGTGTCTAACAGAGAAGAAGAGGGCGTTTTCACATACCGTCCTTAGGAAAAAAACAATTAAATTGACTTGAAACCAGGTGGTCCAAAGCAAAATGTTTTTTGTCTGTTGATAAGTTTGTATGCACTTTTGCTGCATTTTAAGAGAGGATACAAGATCATTCTATGAAACATTATGCAAAAAGTATTTGCAATTCTTTAGGTTCTTAAAGCTGCTGTGTGTAGTTTTTTTCCTGTGAGAAATTACATTCTCCTTTCATAGGTTAATATGCAGAGATAACAGTCACTTATTTATATGTTCACTTCCCAAAAAATGTAAACACTGTGGTTCCGTGCCACTTTGTTTGAGTGTCCCAACTGATCAACACTGGCTTAACGATTTGTGTATTTGGCCGCGGGACTTTCATTTGTCCGACCAATGTCAAGTGGAGGGGAATGTTTGAATTAAAAATCTTTATTTTTATAACTCCAAACAAAATTACAAACTGCAGCTTTAAAATTTGCTGTTCGATTGAAAATGTGTGGTAGATAACAGTAATTATCAGTCATAGTGCTGTTCTGTCTTTTCCACCAATTTCTGCTGTTGTCTCAAAAATGTTGTAGACTATCTTTGAAAAATAACCATATTGAGTGAAACATTACTGCAGACATAAAAACAAATGGAATTCAGACTATTCCGGCCACTTCCTGAGACGGTCTTGGCCTGCTTGGCCACCAAAAATAAAACATTGCCTTAAGGGCCAAGTGTGAAAATGCTCAGCGAGAAGGAGAGCACATGACTTTGCATGTTTGTCCTCACTTAAGGTTTTGTGCATTTTTAAAAATAGTGTTGAGTTTACTTTATCCCAAGCACTGGAAATAGGTTTGGCTGACTTCACTACAAATCTTTCTGTTTATTTACTTTCCATTCTTTGTGAAACCCGCCAAAGGGAATTAAGATATTATACTTATTTATGAAAGTCAATCACCAAAGCAGCAGAGTGGGAGCAAAATCACAAGGAAATGTTTAGCCAAAATCACTCCCTCTGTGTGAATACTTTTTTGTCGGGTTTTATTTCTGTCCAGTTTCAATGCAGGAGGGTGAATTGGCGTCATTCCAAGAGACAAATGGAAGGAATTCCTTGAAAAGGCTGCTTAAAGATCCATCAGGTCAAAATTGAATTGTGAATTGAACCAAATCGGATGAACTGAACAAACCTCAATCATGATGATGAATCGCACTCTGCAATGGAGCGCATCATTGTTTCGGTGGTATTACTGTGTTATCACATGCTCAGTCTGTTCATAACTTTCCTGTTGACCGCAAACTTTAAAACTAAAATGTGAGAGTTATTTAAGTTATTGTATAGTTTTCAAATGATTAGGACATAAACACTTTTCCTTACAGAACTACACACATTTATCATTGTCTAGATGAAAGCACAGGCATTCTTTAACTTTTTTTTTTCAGCTGTTTGCCAAAAGTGCCATTTATATTTCCTTATTTTGAAAGAGAAATGTTTTCTTCCACATCACGTTTTTATATTGTGGTCATTTGAAGGTTTGTTTTTACATTTTCCTGTTTTATTCTCTCTGCAGCTTTTCTGTTTTTGTCTTGATCATTTTGAAAATTAGGAGAATTATTAAATTATCAATATCACATCAGTTCTTGATCTGTCGTCTTATTAAAAGGGTTGTTTGGTATTAAAACTGTAGAAGTAAGGCACTAAGAGGCTTGATTGCCTTTTTGTTCACATAGTTTCAGTAGATAGTTCTAAATTCAATAGTCTGTAGCATTCTATGCAAAACTCTGTTCCTAAACCTAGTGAGCACACTCTTGACATGACGGCTGTTCCAAACAGTAATCAGCAACATTGTGCATTAAAATTGAACTTTTTTCACTTAATATTTTGAGCTATGTATTTTTTGTGGTTATGAAGTTGTTATCTTAGCAACATGCTAACATCACTAACCGTGTTAGTTGAGTCTCTTTACATACCGACTCTGAGTGTTTCTGATGAGTCTTTTGAGGTTCCATAATTATTAGGATGTTGCCTATGTAGGCAGCTGAGCCAGGCTGCTCACTAGGATTTGGAACAGAGATATTTGTCCATTTTTGGCAACTTTCCTGTAATTAGAAAAATGTTGTAAGAATCCTTCTAAGATATACCCAAACCCCTCTTATTCTGTACTTTTTTTTTAGGGAAAGATGTCTACAGAATGTGATGTAACCAAACTGAGATGTTAAAAACTGTACATCATAAGCATATCATAAAGTTTATTACCACTTTTACAGCCATAAACAAAAAACCTTGGCTAGAAACCTCTGAAATCCTGTAGTGTTTGCAGTAATGGTGCACTAAACTCTCTAAAGGTGTTTTGTTGTATACACCAAGACTTTGGACAGCTGTGTTTGGTATTTCTGAGTGCTGGGAATTTGTGTTAAAGGTGCATTACAACCACACATGATGTTTTACTGTGTTAATACCACATTTACGTAGTGGTTAGTGACTCCTTTCTGCATTTCAAAATACAGCATATTACAGCATATGTTCTCAATATATAAAATACAGTTACATTTAGAACTGAGTTGTGAGTTATTGCAGTCAAAAAGAGAGAGCGTGTGTTGCCATATTCTCAATCGACTCTATTGTGTTTGTTTTCATGACTTTTGGAGTATTGTAAACAATTTGCTAATTAAATATGTTTATCTTAAGGCCTTGTTTGCTGTGTTCAATGGATGTGAAACACTACATGTGAGTTTTACTTCTTGGACAAACCCAGAAATCAGCTAAATTTGATTAAAAAAAAACACTTTTTAGGGTGCAAAGAGACTGTTAAAAATCATTCAAGTAAACATTTATGCTATAAATGCACAAATATAAGTGTGAATCAAATTCTTTTAGAAGTAGTGTTTGGGTTATGGTTAGTCGGTACTAATTAGCTTCAAAAATGAGCATGTAGTCTATTACATTTCTTCACTGAGATAACTAAACTTCTGTGTGTGGGCCTGCAGTGGAGGACGGTTGTGTTATTTAACTCCCTATTAAAGCATCTCACAGAGCTTAACATTTTTTCATTACACTTTCTGTGATGTGTTCATCCAATTTTTTCATCACTTATGATGTGCAATAATGCAGTTTATAGAAGGATATAATTGTGATAAAATCGAGAGACACTAGGTGTGAGTGTGAATGTGTGTTACAGTAGCCCTTTTATGGACCGGCCATCCGTTGAGGGTGTTTCTCTGCATAAAGCCAGAGATTCTGGAATTTGCTCCAGCATCACATATAAGTGGTTAGGAAAATGGATGGATAACTAATTGTAATTTTATATACACAGTCGATATGTTTATGTGGGCTGTAAGTGTTATTCTGGTAAATGAGATCATTTTGTTCTTTTGTATTTTTCAGGTGTTTGTTGGTGTTAAACCAGTGTGTGTAGGAAGATATCTTACAGTGAGCTTTTTCTTCTCAAGGCTTTTTGCACTTTTTTCCTCTTACATTCTCACACAGTGACTTATGTTTTAATGGCTTAGTTTTTTTTATTTCAAGTTAAATGTAATTGTCAACAATTAAAGTATGCAGGGCATAATTCCGTTTAAGGACCCTTAAATGGACAGTCTATGCAAATTAGGGGAAATTGTGCAAAGGCAGAAGAGAGAAAGAAAAACATGAATAAATTATGCAAATAACCAAAGGACTTGACCATTTAAAAGCCTAAATTTCCAGTAATAAGTGCAGTGTTTCATTTTTTATTTTACCATGATGTTATGAAATGACAGTTCTCCTGTGTGTGTGTGTGTGTGTGCGATGGATTTGACATGGGGTGAATGAACACAAACAGCACTAAATGCCAGTGTGCATGTCTGTGTGTGCGCTGAGGCTTTCTGGATGACGGTATACATTTGCGGGGTAATTATGCATAGTATTGGAATGAAGTTCAAATTATGTGTCCATTTGTGTGTGTCTGTTTGTATTTTCTATTACTTTAACAGCTAGGCAACATGTTTAACCTTTCTATTTAATTTGATTTATTAATTTGATCATTCTTTCTTTTTTTCGTACACATTCATTTGAATGAATTTAGTGGTTTAGCATGTATGTGTATCTGATTAACCATATTTTGGGAATGAATTTGTACCCTGAAATGAGCTAAATCTGACCAAATCTCTGAAATCTACTTTTGGGGACATCCTCATTTGTAAAAACAATTTTTTTTTTAAGTTTTTTAAAAATTGCATAAAGTTTTCTGTTAGGGTTAGGTTACAGTATTTATAACAAGCTTATTAGAAAAACAATAGAGATGCAATAGAGAGAGATTTAGATACAGTAGAGATCCAGATTTAGATATCTAAGTAAATGTGTGTGTACGTGTGCACACAAAAGCTACCTACAACTTACTTCATAGTGAACAAATCAGGTTTCATTCCTTCAGTCTTCACACTGGATGACCCCAACAAATTCACTATAACACAGAACAATCATCCACCCATTTACCATCTATATTTCTGAAAAATTCCCATAATTAGATAAAACATATTTATGTGCTGGCCCTCTGTGCTTCTTTTTTAATGGTGTTTGCTAAGGCAGCAACAGTAACTATGACTATATAAATAGCAGTCTTCATGATGGACAATATTTGAATCTTTTTCTTGAAGAACACTTAGTCAATTGGTGCATGTTGGAGCATAATTCTCATACACTGTTTTGGCTTTCGAGTGAAACTCAAAACACCATCGACCACATCTCTAGAAAATGTAAAATCTAGTTTATGTTTCACAGTTCTCTAAAAGTAAAATCTCTGAAATCTACTTTTGGGGACATCCTCATTTGTAAAAACCATTTTTTTAAAAGTTTTTTAAAAA